ATTTAAAAAAACATTTTTTTTAACGTTTATTTATTTTTGAGACAGAGAGAGACAGAGCATGAATGGGGGAGGGGCAGAGAGAGAGGGAGACACAGAATCTGAAGCAGGCTCCAGGCTCTGAGCTTTCAGCCCAAAACCCGACGCGAGGCTCAAACTCACGGACCGCGAGATCGTGACCTGAGCTGAAGTCGGACGCTTAACTGACTGAGCCACCCAGGCGCCCCTAAATATACCTTTTTTAAAAGTTTATTTACACTGGGTGTTGTATGGAAACCAATTTGACAATAAACTTCATATATTGAAAAAAAAAAAGTTTATTTATATTGAGAGAGTGAGCAGAGGAGGGGCAGAGAGAGAGAGGGAGAGAGAGAAATCTAAGCAGGCCCCGCACTCTCAGTGCAGAGCCTGACACAGGGCTGGAACCCACGAACTGTGAGATCATGACCTGAGCTGAAATCGAGAGTCCCACCGCTTAACCGACTGAGCCACCCAGTGGCTTAACTGACTTTTAGCCACCCTAAAATAGATTTTAAGGGAAAACAACAAATTTTTGCTGTATAGTAATTACTTGTTATAATTTGAACGTAATGTAATAAGTCTACAAAAAGAACAGAAATAGAACTGTGAGAGTGGTAAAACATGGTAGTTTCTTAAACAAAAAAAAAAAGCCTCAGAACCAGTATTATCTGCTTAGAAATATGGATTGATACAATTGAAATATGTTGCAATTATTAAGTCACTTTGAAGATGATAAATATACAAGGTTAAAAGTGCCCTAATTATTTTAGATTAAGTGGAGTAAAGAGAAGAGTGGAACCCTTTTTATTTCAGAACCTGGCCCATGTCTTGTCTGGGAGCAGCCTCAGCCACTGTGAGAACCAGAAAGGACAGAATGAGGAGGTTGTCACAACACTTAAATACTCAGCTTTGGGCATTCAGCATCAGGGTCTACCTCCTTTCTGGCTGCTAACTGGTCCAGGGAGCCTAGTCCTGCTTTAACCTCCACTCTGATGAGCTGGGCATGTTAATCCCTCCTGGATTCTTTTTCTCAGGGACAGACGTTCACTAGCATATGTAGGACTTTCAGCTTGAAACATGGTTGCAGATTTGTTTGCCTTTCACAGTTAAAAATAAATCATTGTCCATATTAAAAAGCTGGGAATTTTAAGAGAAGAATCTGAATTTTTGTAAAAATAAAAGTCTGACAATACTGGGCTGAGTTTCTGCATGACAACTCTCTGCCTGATTTCTAGGTAAGCCTGAGAGTGCCCCACTTTTGTGTTTCTTCCCTGTTTCGGTTAATGCGCTCAGTTCTCTGTTTTCTATGGATAAATATTCCAGTTTCCATCTCCCCAGTCCTAGAAGCACTGATCCAAAAATGTCTGTGACTTGAGTAACTCATAAGAATCAATAGGTATCAATATTATATATTTAAATATATATATATATCTTTAATACCTATTGATTATATCGATATAATTATATTATAATATATATAATTTATTATATAATAATTATATATTATATTGATTATATATATGTATATATATATGTATATATATATATATATATATATATATATATATATATGTATATATAGTCAAAATCTAAGACTAGAGGTGAATTAGAAAAACCATAGGGACCATTCAGGGGTTAGGATAAATAGCCCTAGAGATATTTATTTTAGTGGTTCATAATTCTGTTTTTAAAAGAAAAACAGTGGGTAGGCTTTTGATTGACCTAGTCACTATGATTCCTAGTGTCTTCATGGCAGTTAAAGGCCATTAATGTTTTATTAAAATCATCAGTTAATCATACTGTGACTCAGATGTCCATCTTCCCCTGGGTCTGTGAACCCCAGCTCCTCCAACATGAAGGCAACAAGCTTTTCTTCCTATTAAGTATAGTTTATTGTGCTTTTTGAAGTATGCTAAGAAATTCTGTTCTAGAATGATGAGAAATTCAGTCCTGCTGTTTCTTCCAAGTCTGATATTGGCAGAGTTGGATTTCAGTTTCTGCTGTGGGCTATTCCTTGGTTTGTCCTCCCTTGTTCTCATTGCCCTCAGTTAGCTCGTGTTTCTGTGCATTCTAGTGAACTGAGAAGAGATCTTCTTGGCAATTTATATTCTTTGCTCTTATTCATAATGACATAAAACATAGGTCCTTGGGGTTTTCATAAGTGATCTTGTTCTCTGGTCACGGAACCAAATGACACATGGGTTAGACCCCCTGACATGCCAGGGGAGCCTCCATGTGGAATTGAGATGGGATTCAAGGAAGAGCAGGAGCTTGAACAGGAAATAGGTTCAAGCTGGAGCTTGAACAGGAAATAGGTCTCTGGTGAGAAAAGGAGAGGAGAGATCTCTAGATGTTGAGATTTGGAATAACAAGAAAAATTCAAGTAGTATCTAAATCTACAGTTATCATTAGCTAAGACATCAGGAACTTGTTACAATTGGACCTTGGTACCAAGGTACTAATTGGGCTGGTTTGTTGTCTGTAACACTGTTCCAGTATGGAAACTGGTAAATAGTTTATAAAGTCAAAGAGTAGGGTCACTGGTTGTGTCAGGGATCCCCAAGGCTGTCCCCAGGTTTGGTGATTCACTAGGAGAACACACAGTACTTGGCACATAGTTGTCCTTATTTAAAGATTTAAAAAAAAA